AAATGTTATTACTTACATTGGAAGTCAGAAAGCTTTTTCTGTAAAGAGCCAGATAGTAAATATTTTAGGATCTGCAGATGTAAGGGCTCTGTTGGAACTACTCAGCTCTGCTGTTGAAACATGAAAAACAGCATTGTATTAACATGAGTATGGGTGTGTTTCAGTAAAACTTTATGGACACAGACACTTGAATTTCCTATAATTTTTCCATTTCATGAAATATTCTTTTGTTTTTGAGTTTTGAAACTTAAAAATGTGAAAAAAAAATCCACCAAAAGATGAAACCATTTTTAGCTCCTGGGCTGTATAAAAACAGGCGGCAAGGTGGATTTGGTCTGCAGGCCACAGTTTGCCAATCCCTGATCTAACTAATGCCAAAAGTCATTTGATACCACTTGTTATCAGTTGTTTTAAAACTATATGCAGGACCAGTAGGATACTTTCTTAGTGTATTGTAGAACATCTGACAGCATCCCTCCTTAGTGGGGAAAAAACTAGAGGAGAATTTTCAAATGTAGATACCCTTTGACCTATCATTTCTACTTTCAGGAATTTATCCCATAGAGCTACTTGCAGAAGTGCAAGAGTATTCAACAGTGTTCTTTGCAAGGGCAAAACTTTTGTTTTATTTTTTTATTTTTTAAATTTTTTGTGGGGAGGAGGTAATTGGGTTTATTTTTAAAGGAGCTACTGGGGAATGAATGCAAGAGCAAAACTTTAGAAGTAGCTTGAATATCCATGAGTCAGACACTGGTTAAATAAATCATGGATGGCCTATCTGCATAATAGGAAACTAAGAAGCTGTTAAAGTGATTGCAGTATATACCTAAAGGTATTAGTTTGGAAAGACCAATACACGTGTAGTGGAAAAAGGAGGTTGCAGAGCAGTACTTACAGTCTCATCCCTTTTAGCTATCTAACTAACAGAAAAATTCAGAATAGGAGATTTCAGAAAAGGTGGCTAGGTAATTTTTTTTATTGTGGTAAAATATACATAACACCATATTTATCATTTTAATCATTTGTAAGTGTCCAGTTAGTGGCATTAAACAGCCTAATTACGCTGACTAAAATTTTCAGTACACTGTTGACAGCAGTGGTGAAAACAGGCATCCTGTTCCTAATTTTAAGGGGAAAGCTTTCAAGTTTTTCACCATTGAATATGATATTAGTTGTGAGTTTTCATAAATACTCTTTATCTGATTGTGGAATTTTCCCTCTCTTCCTGGTTTCTGAGAATTTTTATAATGAAATGGTGTTGAATTTTGTCATCAGTTGAGACGATTGTGATTTTTTTCCCCTTTATTCTATTAATGAGATGTGTTACATTTGATTGGTTTTCTTATGTTGAACCACCCCTGCATTCCTGGAATAAATCCCTCTTGGTCATTGTGAATAATCCTTGTAATATACTGTTGGATTAGATTTGTTAGTATTTTGTTGAGGATTTTTGCATCTATATTTATAAGGGATAGAGGTCTGTTTTTCTTCATTTGTAATGTCTTTATCTGGCTTTGAGTTCAGGGTAATTCTGGCTTCATAGAATGAGTTAGTAAGTATTCCCTCTTCAGTGTTTTGGAAGAGTTTGAGAAGGATTGGCCTGTTAATTCTTCTTTAAATGTTTGGTAGAATCTAGCAGTGAAGCCCTTCGGTCCAGACCTTTTCTTTACTGGGAGATTTGTGATGATTGATTCATTCTCTTTATTTATTATAGGTCTCTTGAGATATTCTATTTTGTCTTGAGTCAGTTTAGATAATTAATTTTTTCAATTTTCAGGGCAAATTGTCTTCTCATTTATCAGTATCAAGCAATTAGAAAATATATAGGAAAAAACCCCAATTGTTAATGGCTACAAATAAGTATTTAAAATTCTAAGGAATAAATGAATAAAAAATAGCAGAACCTATATGAAAGGAAAGAAAATACTTTATTGATGGTCATAAAAGAAGGCTTGGGTAGGTGGAGAGACACAAGTTGTTCCTAGATGAGAAAAAAGCACTCTAGTATACCTTAAAAAATATCTTTGGGAAAAACCTGTCTAAGGGACAGGTGATAATTTATCATACTAAACACTAAAAAAATGTTAAAGTACAATTATTGAAATATTATGGTACTAGCTGTGAAATAGGGAGCCAGATTTAATGCAATAGGAAGCTCATACACAGAACAAAGAATTTAGAGTTGATACACTATAGCATGTTAATATGAGAAACATATTACTTAGTGAATCATGCTGGTACAAATGGTTAACTATTGGAAGGGAGAAGCCCATTGGATTTTGCCTCACATTACACTTAAATAATTTCAAGATGGATTAAAGAATTGAATAGCTAGTAAATGGAAGTATGGAAAACTAGAAGAAAATATAGTTTAATTTTTTTTCTCATCCTAGTGAAAGAATGAGGATAGAAACTGTTGGAGAAATCACAAAAATATTAATGAGTTTGATTAAACTGAAAACAAAGAACTCCCTATCTCAAAAACATCAGACTTCAAAATCACATCACCACCTGGGGAAAGTATTTGCTGAAAATGTTCATTTTCCAGAGTTATTATCCTTAAGATAGCAAGACTTCATATAAGTCAACAGGAAACACTGAATCTCCATTAGGGCAATGAGCAGAAGACATGGAAAATAACAAGTCACAGAACAAGAAATCTTAATAGATGGAAAACATCTGAAAAATATTCAATTGGATTAGTAAGAAGAGAAATGCAAATTAAAATGGGATATAAAGATGGTATGAACTTTCGTCTGTCAAATTAACAATTTTTACATGATTCATTTTTGTGATAATGGAGAAAAAACATTGCACTTCAGTTCTCTATAAATGTAAAATTAGTACAACCTTTTTAGATATTTTGGCAGCACCTATCAGGAGCCCCTGAAAGGTTCCTAGCCTTGACCTAGTGATTCTGCTACATATGCATTATAAGGAACTAGATAGAGATGTACATAAATATTTATATTTGAATATGTACACATCATTATAGCACAATAGCGAGCAATTGAAAGTCACATAAATGTCCTACAACAGAAAACAGATAACATAACCTTTGGACATCCACACGATGGAATATTATGCAGGCATTAAAAATATTTAAAAATTATAAATGACATACAAAATTTCTCAGAATATATGTACAGTATGATTCAAACTACTGTATAAAACACATGGAGTAAGAAAAAGAGAAGGAACTATATCTAAGGGATATGATATTTATTAGTGATGAATTTATTAATATTCTGAATTTTTATGAAGAGCTTAATTTTACATACTTTTAATAGAAATCTATCACATACAAAAATATGCACAAATCACAAATATGCAGCTTACATAGTTTTCAAATTAACACATATATGTAATCAACACAACACCAAGAAATAAAAGGTTATGTGCTCCCCAGAATCAGCTCTCACCTCCCTTTCAGTCACTACTCTCTCCCAAGGTAGCACTATCCTGACATCTCCCACCACTGATTACTTTTGCCTGTCTTTGCACTTTAGATCAATTCATATACTATTCTTTTAGGTTCCTGGACCCAATTCCAGTGTGTGTGTTGGGGCTTCCCACACAACATCAAGAAATTCTTGGACACCAGCAGGGTGTCTGAGAAGTCAAGTCAATTCTAACACTATCTATAGAAAGTGTCAGATTCCACAGGTTGAGGATTCAGTCTTACAAGACTCCCCCCCACAACCCGCCCCATAGCTGTGCTTTTGACCGACTTTCTGTAAATCAAAGGTTCCCACAACTGCCTCCTTCTAGGATTAATTTGCTAGAGTGGTTCACAGAATTCAAAGAAACATCTTACTAACTGGACTAACGGTTTATTTTAAAAGGATGTAACTCAGGAACGGCCAGATGAAAGAGAGGCACAGGGCAAGGTCTGGGGAAAGGACACGGAGCTTCCAAGTCCTCTCTTAGCTCTACTCTCCTCAGTCTCCACGTTTTCATCAACCCAGAAGCTCTCTGAACCCTGTCCTTTTGGGTTTTTATGGAGGCTTCATTATGTAGCTACGATTGATTAAATCAATAACCACTGGTGATTGATTCAGCCTCCATCCCCTCTACCCTCCCCGAGGTCAAGGGGATGGCACTGAAGGTTCCAATCTTCTAATCATATGATGGATTCCTCTGGTGACCAGCCCCTGTCCATAGGTGAGCATTCCAAAAGTAACCTCATTAACATAACAAAGACACCTTTATCACTCTCATCCCTTAAAAACTTTTTAAGAATTTTAGGAGCTCAGTACCAGTAACCAGGACGGGAGACCAAATATATATTTCTTACTATAAATCACAATATCACAGCTGTATACTCTTTTGTGTCTAGCTTTTATTCAACATGATGGTTGTGAGACTCGTCATCATAGTATGTGGCTTCTCATTGCTGTGTAGTCTGTCTTTGTATGAAAACACCCAGTTTAATTATTTATATAGCTTGTACTAGTCAGGAAAAAACCAGTTTAAAAAACAAAAATTGCAATTGCAGCTCAAACTGGAGGTATTTCATAACTGAATTTTCCCCACAATATTACTGTGCATTTTTCTAACTTGAAAGTTTTTATGTCCTTTGATTTCTTGCTTCTGAGCCTTTGTTCATTAGTATCTCCACTACAGAATGAAAGGAAAACAGGAAAGGAGGTGAAACTTGAATCCTTTCATTCTGCCTCTCATTACTGCCCTGGCGCAGGATGGATAAATGAATTGGCTCTCTCATTAACACCCCTCCCGGTACTGTGAGGCCAGCGTTCAAATCTACTACAAGATATAATATGCTAGCATTGGACTCAGTGTCTTTTTGTGGTCGAACAGCTGAATGACTGAGAACCATAACCGAGCCTACATAATTCTAGAAGAGCTTTGGCTTATTTTTCACATACATTTATTTAAAGTTTAATACAAAATTTGACTACGGAAGCAATTGTACTCTCAGCGCTGAAATGACCTTAGACATAATCTCAATCAGTTTTCACTTGGCGGGGGAGGAGGCGATGTCTTTAGAGGTCACCCCGGCCACACACTGTGGTAGAGGCCCAACCCGGAATAGATTCCCGTATCACCTCTGGAGGCCGGCAGCCTCTCTGGGTAAAACGCTGGGTAAAAAGTCTCTGAGCTCCTTTACGGAAGCGGTTAGGAAGCATGCTGTTGCTCACTTGTTTCCAGCATTTACTCTGTAGCCTCTACGTTGTGAAGCATTCATTTCACAATTTGAACCAGTATTTGATCTTGATTCTTATTCCTGTGCATTGGCAATAAAGCCCTTCAGTTTTTAAAGGTTTATTCTAAATCAGTTAATGGAAGAACTCTTGTTTTGTCACTCTCCAAAATTCAGCCATGACTCCAGTTCAACTTGAGTTGGCATTCTGAGAACATATCCTTATTACGTTTATTAAGGCAGTAAGTATGTAAATTGACTGTTTTATGCGTTGCTTTTCAGGAGTTGATGACCAAGCAGTTTCAGAAGTGAACCATCCAGCAAATTTAAAAAGATACAGTCTCAACTCCGCGGACGTGGGATTTATCCCGTTGCACAAAAAAGGGCGATTGTCTGTTCCAAGGGAGAATAACATGGTTTGTATATTTAAGTGAAACTCTTCTTTTCATTCTACTTTCTTTTTAATAAATTGCATTTAATTTCATACAGTGAAATGCACAGGTATTAAGTTTACATTTCAATGAGTTTTGACAAATATGTATATCCATTCCTCATCAAAGTAAAGAGAATTTCCATCATCCCAGAAAGTTCCCTTATGCCTCATCCTAGTAAGTCCCCATCCCCTCGAATTTTGGAGAATTACTGTTCTGATGTTTTTTTCATCATAGATTAGTTTTACCTGTTCTAGAACTTTATATAAATACAATCATACAGTATGCACTCTTTTGTGTCATGTTTTCCTTTCCTTTGAGTAATGTTTGATATTCATCTGATTGTAGCACTATTTCACTCCTGTTTATTGCTGAGTAGTATTCTGTTGTATGAATATCAATCATTTATTTATGCATTCTCCTTTTGATGGACATTAGCGTTATTTCTAGTTTTTGGCTATTATGAGTAAAGTGGCTATGAACATTATTATGGAAATCTCTTTGTGAACATACGTTTATATTTAACTTGGGTAGATACTCGGGATTGGAAGTACTGGGTCACAGGGTAGATTATAAGAAACTACCAGTTTTCTGACGCAGTTGTACTGTTTTTCATTTCCATCATATTCTTCTGTGCTTCTAAATCTCTAAAGTTGAATAAAATGGATTATTAAACTATATATAATTAAGCTTAACATAAAATGCATTTATTTACTTACATAAGGATGAGGATAGTAATACCACCTAATTAGTATAGGCAGTTCCCCAATATTTTGATCTTTGGGAATAATGTTAGTTGCCTCCCAAGAGTCGTGGTTTCTGACATAACTATGTGAAAGCATTTTGAAAAGCATAAAGCATTATAGAAGGGTAAGATGAAAATATTGTTTTTATAATTATTAATCTATATTATAATTCCATATAATTTTTACTGCCTAATTTGTTATGCAGGGCTAATTCAGATAATTTTTAAAAGAAAAACTCTGATAACGACTTGGTATGTTTATATTAAAATTATTCTCATAGTCCATAATTAATCCTTAGAATAGAGTTATTATTATAATGAAATTTAATGGTTATTTGCTGTCTGTTTGCTTATTTATACTGTTTTATTCCAAAAAAGGATTTAAGGTGTCTTAGAGATTAATTTAATAAGAAAAATAGGTGCTTAAGTGTTTCCTATTTTGTCCACAGAGTGTCACTGTTAGATTATTTGAAAATCAAAAGCCATCTAGCATTTGATTCTTTGTGGTTAGAAATATTTGCTTTTAAAGCAGTTCTGGTGCCAGATTACTGGAAGACTAGTCTTTCTACCCTGAAGTACATAAAGGGTTAAGCTTGATGGAAAATGTTGTCTTAAACGTAGTTGGGTTAATGAGAGAACAGTTCTGCACATATCTTTCCATGTTGTTGTAGTATTTGCAATGGTCAGAGATCCTTTAGGCCTTTGGAGCTTCTTGAAGGCGAAATTGAAGTCTTAAAACTTTTCTTTCAATTCTTTCTTTAATATTTCCTTTTGCTTTAATAAATCCTCCCTATACAAGAACATGAATATTTGATTGTGAAGAAGGTGGACCTGACATTAGTGAATGTATAAAAAATTGAATATGTAATATTAATTGATAATTGCCAAATATATTCACATTTACTATCATAAAGAAAATCATTAAAATTCTTCAATTTTCATTTATTGTGGAGTTACTCTGAACTCGTGAGCTCAAGGAAGTATTTCCTCACATGAATGCTTAATCATTTTATTTACCTCTCTTCCTTATCTAATAGAAATTCATAGTACTTTTATTTTGTACCCTGTTTTAGTAGCTTTTCTAATTTTCGCAACAGCTTTAGATTTACAAGAGAGTGCAAAAATATTACAGAGAGTTCTTGTGTATACACTTCACACAACTTCCCTTAATGTTAACTTACCTGTATAACTTAAAGTTATGGTAACTCTATAACCACAGTGCAGTTTTCAAAACCAAGGTATTAACATTGGTACAGTACTATTAGCTAAACTGCATCCTTGTTGGAATTTCAGCATTCCCCTTCCCCCATGTCATTTTTCTGTTCCAGAATCCAATCCAGTATCCTACATTGAATTTAGTTGTGTCTCCTTAGTTTCTTCCAGTCTGTGACAAGTCCTCATTCTTTCCTTGTCTTTCATGACCTTGACATTTTTGATGAGTGTACTGATCAGTTATTTTCTAAAATGTCGCTTGATTTTGGTATGTCTGATATTTTCTCTTGAATAGATTGAGATTATGCATTTTTGGCAAGAACGCCACACAAACCATGTTACCTTCTCACTGAATCATTTCAGGAGTACAAGGTTTCCATATAGCTTTTGTCTAGTGTTAACATCAATCACCTGGTTATCATGATGTCTTCTGGATTTTTTTTCACTGCAAAGTTACTATTTTCCCTTTGTAATTAATAAATATCTTGGGTGGGAGTGTACTTTGATGCTATGCTAATATCCTGTCCTCAGCTTTTTACCCTGAGTTGACTTAGCTCATGGATTTTACCATGGACTTTACCTGCAATGTTTACTAATGTGGTATTTGCCTAATGGTGACTTTCTGTTTTCCTTATTGCTTTATATTTATTAATTGGAATTGGTTTGTAAGGAATAATTGTCCTTTCTCCCCCATTTATTTATTTATTCAGTTATATATTTTATATAAGTATGGACTCATGGGCAGTTATTGTATTAAAAACGTTGTCATCCAACATTATCATTATTTTGTTGATCAAATTTTCCAGCTTTGGCCATTGGGAGCTCCCTCCAACTGCCGCCTGTGGCTTTTTGACATGCCCCCACTTTTTTTTTTTGAGCAATTTCTTATTTTCTGACATTACAAGGTGTTCTAGCCTCATTTATACTTTCCCTGTGTCAGCCCTGGAATTCACCTCTCTCCAAGGAGCTCTGGTTCCTTTTATTGGAGAGTGGTATTTAGAAATCAAGACCTGGACACTAGGTGTGTTCATTGCTACTCTTGTGTCATTGATCTTAGGCCTTCTCAGTGGACACAGCTAGGAAATAAATGTATGTATACTAATCCATGCATATGCATACATTTACATTTCTATATCTGTTTTTATATATATTGTAAATTATGTGTTCATACTGATATTCAGAAGCTTTTCTTAAACTTAGATTCTTATATAATAAATTCCTTCCTTTAACCCCCTTTTAAATCAGCTCTTTTTCATTCTCATGAATGTGGGTTTTGGTTTTACTTTATCTCTGCTTTATATTGTAGGCTTCTGAAATCCTTTTGGAATGTAGGTAATAAAAGAACAATTAAAATACAGAAATATATAACGTTATTTTTTCTAGTGTTTTATTTGGCTCTCAGAGACATTAAAAATTGACTTACTTATTTCTGTGCTATTAATAGGCGTGCAATGCATCTGAAGTTTTTTTTTGATGAAAATCATCAAAACCAGCTTCCAAAACTCCAACGCAATTGTGAAGTATCAAAGTTGTCTCTTAAATGTAGTTTTCTAAGACATTGAGCTGAAATTTTCTTTACATCATTCAATTTCATTGTACTGTTAATAGAAAATTTGCTATGCTGAGTTCTGTATGATTATCACTCCACTGTGATACATTTGAAAAAATATCTACTTGAAACAACATCCCTAGGTGAAAAACTTGAACTAAAAATATGACTTTTGTAGCTTAAAAAAAAAACCCATAACTGCTTAAGTGTAGTTAAGTCTCTTTCATCTAGACCGTTCAATATTGAATTTCTCCAACATTCTTTTTTAAGAAAATTGGCTGATTTGGAATAAATTTACTATGCCTAAATGTGTTATCAAGATATCTCAATTGAAACAAAATGGCAGCCCACCACTATTTTTTAAAGAGTATATCTTACATAATTTTGAGGGGATTTTGTAAAAATTGACATGTTGATAGAGACTGATAGAAAAGAAGTATGTAATTATCAAGGGTTTTGTGAGCTGCATACCCTAGAAGTAAAGAACATTTATAAAAAAATGTTCCTTAACATATAAAGTTTCTTAATGAGCTAGCATACTTTGAAAAGTAAAAGATGCTTATGTGAGTCTTTATCATTATTACTCTTGAGAAGAGAAGTGGAATACTTAAAGGGAACCTATGGTGTCTTCTGGGGAAGGATGTCCAGAGGGTGGGACTGTAGGGGTGACATAGAGAGTTCTGACTTTGAGCAGGGCCATCCCTGGCCTGCTTTACATCAGTAAACATGACGAACTAGGTTGACACTGCTCTACCAGGACCTTCTGAGCGATGTGCAGGATGTGGTGAGACAGAGCATCTACAATAAGAAATGCCCAGATTCCAAAGTCACGGGCCTGAAACACCCCTCAGGGATCCTCTCCATTTCTCCTAATTTGACAGCTCCCTCCTTTCTTCAGCTCCTTCCCTTACCAGTCTGGGCCACATGGTGCAGCATTTCATCTTTTCCTTTTTTTGATCCTTGCCTACCGTTGCCCGGTGATTTTCAGACAACCCCAATCCTTGTCTCTTATTTCATGGAGAAAATGGAGGACGTGGAACAGAAATCTCCACCAAGTCCTGATTCCTCTCCCCACAGCCAACAAACTTGGCTGGATCCATCTCTCTGCTGACCTCCTTCCCGACCATTCGAACGGGAAGGTGTTTTCCTCTACCAGGCTAACACCTTCGCTGGTTTCTGCATCCAACCCTCTTTCCCTGTGTTCAGACACCTCCCTTCATTGGTCGTCCCTCTCTCCTCTACATCTTCAGCCTCTGTCTCTATCACTCAGCATATTCATCCTCCTACAGTTTTTAAAAAATCACTTCTTTTGGCCTCTTTAGCTGTCATCCTTGCTCTCTTCTTCCCTTCATAACCGAGCTCTTTGAATGTCATTTCTATTTACTATCTAAACATCTAACTTCCTGTTTTTATCTCTCTCTCTTTTAATCATAAAAGTAAGACATATGTATATAGTTCACAGAAAAGTTAAACAGTAGA